TTAATGGTGCATTCCTGAAGAAGTTGGTAGTCCCAGTCAGAACTTTTTGTGGAATGCCCCCTTAACTTCAATTTTCCTCTCGGAAAGTCTTACCATAACACCCTGAGGTGGTAAATCCAATCCAGTTAGCAATCCAAGATGGCGGCACTGAACATAAACCGTAGTAAAACTGTAAACATTTCATTTGTACTGCCACTGTTATGTATTATTGACTCACTAAATGAGCCATATGTAGAGCACTAACCAGACTCTGTCTATTAATGTGTTTTTTAAGTGCAAAGTCTCGTGCAGTCTTGTGCTGTTTTGCTAGTGATGCTATGAACCAAAACAAGTTTTTTCTCGCCTTTTCTGGAATGCGCTCCAAGGTATCTGGAATGCGGTATGGGCATAATTTTAAAAGACTCAAAAGAAAGGAGAAAATTTGACTTTGAAGGGAATGCTGTTACACAGTTTGGGGGTAAACACAGAGAGGACACGGTCTCCTCTGGGTTTAAATCTAGAGTGGGGGAAAGCCAGAAGCATCTGACCGGAGGGACCTGGAAACTGAATAGGGTTGTAGGGGTCAGCGATGTAAGAAGGAGTCAAGCCATGAGAGGCTTTGTAAACAAGCAGGAAGCTCTTGCAATTGATTCCACACCTCACTGGCAACCAGTGGAGAGAAGCTACCAGAGGTGCAATATGATCTCTTTTTTCGTGTGTCTATGAGGACCCCAGCAGCAGCATTATGGACAGGCTGTAGACGGGACTGAGAGGACTGACTGAGACCAGAGTAAAGTGAAATGCACTAGTCTAAGCAAATGAATCTCAATTTTGCAATGTCTCAGAAAAAAAATCTGTTTTATTGTCAACAGCTAAAGGAAATTCTGTTAAGAATTGGATGCCCTCAAAGCGTATGATGATTTTATCCATCCTGGGATTGAGGACACGATATAGTTGAATATCATCAGCAAAGCAGTGAAAGGAGATATCGTGTTTACTGATGATTTGACCCAAAGCAAGCACTTTCTGATTGCCAAGTGTGAGCGTGCACTGCTCGGTCGGCAGGTCCACTTTCAAAAGCACCAAGATGGTGGAGGTCAAAGTGCTCATCTCAAAGCACGTGTGATATCCTGGTTGCTACATCAATCATTTATATGCAGTCTGGGTTTATAATGTTTAGTAGTTCCCCCTTTTCACTTGAGCTTGTTTGTCATTAGTTTGATGGCTATTTGCTCACAGACTAAACAGCTTTAACCTGATGATAAAACTTTATATACGCAACTGCCAACGTTGTTACAGTTCATCCTGAGGTTAACATCTATACAGTGTGAGTGCTGCGATTCAAATTTAATGCATGGGAATCCATCTAACATGTGCAAAGACGAAAAAAAAAATGGATAAACTTCCAAACCTATAAACATAAATGTTTAGTTGTTGAGGTACTTTAGTCTAGGGGACGGCTGAAGTACTCAAACATCCTGAGTTTGTCTCTTCATGCCATATAACACGGCTCACCGTGGATCTTACAGTTAAGTCTCAGATAACAGTCTCACCTTTTAATTACATGAAAAAAGAATAAGCAGTTTAAGATTATTATTGATTGGCTTTTTTAAGCAGTTTTATGGAATTAGCATTTAATAAGACATCATAAATCTCTTGTTCAGCTCCTCCCTAACATCTAGGTAACCCAGAGCCAGAGTGAGGCAACATGAGCTACAGCCACTGCTGTTAGAGTTTCCATCCCCGGGATACCCAGGGGGCCTTGGCTGTAACAATTTGGCTGACAGCGTCTATGCACAAAACAGCAATTGATGCATTTATTTTCCACAGTCACAGCACGACAGAACGTATTTCCCCAGTCATCCGTACTGCACACATTATGTATGGCGCTGGACACAATATACTGCCCCTCCCTCTCTCCTCTGCAGCAGTCCACTTATTCAGAGCCCATGACAAGCCACATCTGCAGCAGCAGTCACTAGCATATCTGTGTTAAATTAGAGAACAACATCGCCATAACAGTCGCGCAGCAGATTTAACCCGGCTTCCACCCTTGAGGCCTTAAAGTGGCAGGCCAAAAAGTTCTCTCTCTGTCTCTGCTTTTCTTTCCTCCTTCCCTTCATTAAAGCAGTGTGTTCACATGCATTAGTAAATAAATTTCCTTGGCCAGAAGCATTTTAATGTTCCAGTGGGCTAAGGAGACAAGCCTCCTGGAAAATGTGGAGCTCTTGAAAAACTCATGTTTGTGAAATCACATCCGTGCGGCAGTATTGTTTAATGTGCATGGGAGGGGGGGCAGAAAATGTAGGAATCTGTTATAGTCCACGATTATTTTCATGCGTGTTTGTGCTGAGTCGTGAAGTGACGAGTAGCCTAAACACTTAAGTGGCACAGCTGAGTTGCTTGTTTTCCTTGTGTGTCTGGCTTCACACGTCATCAAGGGCCCCACACGTCGCCCTTCATTCTCAGAAAGACCTCCCAAGATGGTGCAGATGACACGCGGTGATCTTAAGAAACTCAATTTAGTCAGAAAATAAATCTTGAGACTTTAGAGGCAAATGTAATAACAGAGGAGAGTTGGGCTACGATCTCTTTCAAAACAAAACAGACACACACACACACAAAAAAAATATTTAAGAACCATCTCTCCTTGGAATATGTTTCCTCCTTTTCTGTCTCCATCTGGTGCTAAAGTTATTACAAGCTACCACGAGCGGCGATAACCGCTATCTTTGGAAGAACGACTCCGTTTGAGAGAGGAGCAGTGAATGATGCTCAGATGTGAACGAGAGAAATGAGTGAAGCCGCCTGTCTTTCATTTGTTCCACAGTGGCCGCCTGCGCCCCTGCAGCTATCTCTCAGTGATGCATTCCACTGTATTTCTATTGGCCACAAGTGGCTCCATTAATGAAGCGCATTAGTCCTGGGTGTGAATGCGCTCCTGCAGAGAGAATGAGTGCAGGGATGGGGCGCAGGTAGAATAAGCACTGGTAGAAAAGAGCTTTTTTGGAGTGTGATGTATATATATGATGGAGGACTCGTCTTTAAGAAAAAAAAAAACAAGGAGAAATATTGCTCTGCCATCACAAAAGAGACAAGGAGAGCAGAGCACTGAAGTGCAGGGCTCCTTAGCTGAAAGGGGAGGAGCGCGAGAAGGTGAAAGCAGAATAGGAGGATTGTGTGGATTTGTCAAAGGATTCAAAACGCACTGCTCCAGACGTTAGCATCACAGAAATCCCAGTTCATTAACAGGCCGAGTGAGCGGTCATTGATTCATTGATAAAATGATTCTCAAGGGATGCGGTTGGCATGACGATGAGGAGCGTCACGTGATCCTGCCATTCAGCGTCACTTTGCGATCCGTGCCGTTAGCTTTTCTGAGGAGCCGATAAAATGATAATAGCGTCGAGGAGGCCCTCGGTGGCTCCGCTGCCTCATATCACGCTCAGTCATCTTCACACTCAGTAAAGTCAGCACATTTCTGCTGCCATTAAATTTACTATGGCTCATTGGGGATTGACACTGCACAACATCAGTGTCATTGGAATGCCTTGTGAAATTCAAGAAAGACTCACTTCTTCATGCTGGAAACAATCATTATTGCTAAATGCTCTGTTTAAATGACTGGCATTACATGCTTGAAAGTTACTATCATTCACCTCACATCGTCGAAGAACTAATAATTTTTTTTTTTCCCAGAAGTCTACACTTCATGAGGCAAAAGCATAATTGTTACCGCTAATGACTTTGCAGCTTTTATTCCATCTCATATACTCGCAGGTTCACGATGGGGGGGGGACACTGGTTGCGGTGACCCCCCCGCCATAACTAGAGGCAAGAATTTATTTACTCCAATATTCAGTAGTGTGAGCTGATTTAAAAATGCACAGCAGAGAGCTTTTCACTGAATTACACCGTAGGCTATGAGGGGAGTGATGGGAAATTTTAATGAGGACTCAGTAAAAAAAAAAGAAAAAAAAGAAAATCACATGCCTGCAGATTATTTGTGATTCATGTTACTGGTGTTCTGTAGAAGATATAAATAATATATATAATTAATTATTATATATATAATATTTGATTAATACTAAAACACAAAAAAAATCTTGCAGTGCACCAAAAAAAAAAATATGCGCAGTCACACAAAGAAACTCAAATGCAGATACTATTTTTATACCTTATAATTAATGTCTTCCAAGAATGTTAGCACTTATTATTTTGTGGTACACTAATGTGCCACTTTAAATCATGTGAGAATTTTTTTTGTCTTAATGGCTTCAGAAGTTGTTGCTCAAACCGCTACGTAGGTCTCTTCGATTCAGCGTGTGACTTCAGAGCCACGGCAGGTCACCGAAAGCTGCTTTACATTCACTCCATATACCCATACATTATATCAGTGCCTCCACTGCTGTGGGTATTTTCTACGATTATCATGTCATATCATTCAGCACTACCCGTAGCTTAATGGATTTTGAAATGTGACATGAGGGCAAAAAGCAGCTCGGTAAATCGAGCAGAATTCATCGGGGATTTTATGCACGCGCATGTATATCAACACATTTTGCACGTGAGTAAATCCTTTAGAGTGGCTTAAAGGTGCAAGTTGTTCTTCAAAAGAGGTTTCAAAACAACAGTTTGTTTTTTCTGTTTTTTTTAGGACATCATAGAATTGGTAATCTCTCCCACTTGGAGGGGGAATTGCTTTACTTCTTGAAGGTCTTTCGGACCACATTTGGTTTATATTTTTCCCAAAGCAATTATAGACTGGGTGAATTTAGTTGTCTTGCGCTCTCCACGGTGGGCTGTGGAGAGCACTATGTTTTTTTTTTTCTTTTTTTTCCCTTTTATTAACAGAGCTGGAGTATCTATGGGGAGTAGGTGCAGTGATGGTCAGAGACACAGCGTCCTCTGCTGGTGATGAGGAAAACGTTGTTTTCTGTCCCCTGTTTGTGAGATAAACAACACTGTCTAAGCAGGTGTGCATGTGCATTACCAATGTGTCTTTTTTGTGTGTTTTTCAGGTGTATGTGAATGCTCAGACTTCACCACCGGGACGACCTGTGAGCGCTGCCTGGATGGTTACTATGGCAACTCTTTGATTGGCACACCTGGTGATTGTCAGCCTTGCCCTTGCCCAGGCCAGACCAGCTGTGTCCAAATTGCAGAGACAGGACAGGTGGTCTGTACCAACTGCCCTGCAGGACAGACAGGTGACGTGAACAATTTAAACAAATTCGTATGGATGGGAAGCACACTGAGTAACGAGCTTTATGTCAAGATCAAAGCAGTCAGAGCGTCTCCACACGACAGCGTGATACTGAAAAGATGGTGGCTGTAGCGCACTCCACCTTAATTTGAGCTGAGGTCGGGTGACGGTGACCTCCAGCAGTGTTCTTTCTCATCTATTCATCTATTTCCTGCCCGTCTCTCTCTCACCTCATTCTCTGTGTAGGAATGCGCTGTCAGAGGTGTGAAGATGGCTACTATGGTGACCCCCTAGGGCTCTCAGGGGCAGCTCAGCCATGTGCGAGATGCAACTGCAATGGTAATGTGGACTTCAACGCGGTGGGAATATGTGATCACGTCACTGGGCGCTGTCTGAAGTGCCTGGGACACACGGAGGGAGATCACTGTGAACGCTGCCAGCAGGGTTTTTACAGCAACGCCCTGGACCAGACAGTGGGCCAGAAGTGCAAGTGTGAGTAACCGAGAGTGTGCCAGTAATTTATTATGACGCTACGATGTCAGTGCAAGATGAGCAATGAAAGATGGGTCTCCTGAAAGAGTTCCCCTGCACTTATAGATGTGTTTGGCTTGCTTCCCTTGGAAACATCCACTGCATTCAACCTTTTTTCCGGCAGTGTTGCATTTAAACTGTATCAGCATACAATTCATACTGTCATATTGTTGTGTTTACAACCAGAAAGCTAATGGACATATTCTACTAAAGGCTACTTGACCTTCAGGTTGGACTTTTAAAAAGAGGAAAAAATAGTCCATTCAAATTGCCTTCAATTCAAGAGTTCTATTTTGACAGGTATAGCTGTCTTGAGTCATGAAAGGCAAAAGCTGAAAATGGTTTGAACAAATGGCTGTGGGTCAGAAAGATAACACAAAAAAGAAGAGACTCGCTGGGCTGGGAGAATGGAAAGCGGGGGGAAAAAACTAACTGAAGTTACAAAAGCAGAAACAGTAATAGCTGTGACGTGTTTGTCCTTTGATTTTCTTATCCTTTTCTTATGCTTCATTCTACCACAGTTGAGCCTCTACAGAACAGAACAACACCACAGAGGGATATAGGACTTCTATTATTCTATTCTTTGTCTTTTCTTATTGTTTTCATAATGAATTGATAAACTGGGAAATGTAATATTTGGTTTGGCTGGTGACTGAAATCAAGCTGTATAACATAAACAAATCACTCATAACTGCAGATGTGAAAGCAAGATGTTGTGTTAGCTATTTGCTGATATATTACTATAATCATTTATAAAGGATGAGAAATGAAAATTAAAAAAAAAACACTTCAACCCTGTTATGTTATGATTGTTGCACAGGTTGGCCACCAGTGGCACTCTGCAGCTTCCCTGTTAGCAACATGTGTTTGGAACACGACGAACAAGTAACCCACATCTCCTATTGAGACAATAAAGATTCCAAAACACACGTTTTTGATCGATGTAAAGGTATCAAACTCTGCACTAAAATTGGTCTACACAAAGATGCATATCCCTAGATGTTTCTCCTGGATCATTGTGGCTTGTTCTTAAAATCAAAACTTTATTTATCTTTGTTCGTCATACTAGCCTATTTAAATAGATGACAAATACAAGAAATCCAGTGTGCCAGTTGAAGATATACAAAGTAGGCGTATCTTGTACCGCAAGCTGTTTGCAAGCTGCAAACAGATTTTTTTGTTTCAAGTTTTGTGTTTATTTCCTTTAGCATGCAGCTGCAGCTCTGCTGGAACATCTGGGCATGTAAATGAATGCCATCCTCAGACAGGAAATTGTCATTGCCTCAGTCATGTGACCGGACGGGATTGCAGTTATTGCGAAGTTGGCTTCTTCAACCTCCAACCAGGCATTGGATGTGAAATGTAAACAGATCCCCTGTGCGCTTCAGAGTTGATTTGTATGAAAAGCAGTAATAACTATTCTTAGAAGCAGACTCTATCATTAATGTGTCATTTTCCTGCCTTCCTCAGATGCAAATGTAATCCAATTGGCTCATCGTCACTGGCATGCCATCCAATCACAGGGCAGTGTGTGTGTCGCACAGGAGTGGAGGGGAGACTGTGTGATACTTGCCGTTTGGGCTTCTTTGGATTCTCATCACGAGGTTGCAGAGGTACAGTACTTTACTCGAGGCATCACAACTGCACTATGTGCCATCCTCTAATCCTCTAATACTTCCTCTAATACAGATCACACATGAAGGCATTTCTAACTCTATAAATGTTTATCTCTGTTGCTTCCCCGGCTCTGCCATCCCCTTGTGGTCCCATCTTGCCTCACCAAGCCTGTAACTGTGACCCGATGGGCTCCGTTTCTATGCAGTGTCGCAGTAACGGCACCTGCCACTGCCGCCAGGGCTTTGTGGGTTACAAGTGTGACAAATGTGAGTTAAACTATTTCCACAACAGAGCCACACACCAGTGCGAGGAATGCCCAGTTTGTTATGGCCTTGTCAAGAAACAGGTGGGTCTATGTTTCGTTAAATTGTTTATGTTCGTTAATATTTGCGTTTGGAAGAAAAACAAAAAATCTGGATTTTTTAAATTTTTACTGCTTCGAATGACAAATTAGGGCACAGCATATAAAAATAAGCATTTGTAGTCAAATGGCAAACATGATAGCAAAAAAGCTACACAAGTTGACTGTGTTGGGAATGTGTATTCCTTAAATCTGCTTTGCGTGGCTGGCCGTCACTGACGGCTGTAACTGGACACAAGCACTTGGTATTTGTAAGAGTGCCATCTGTTGGTCAGAAAGCATCATTGCAGGTAAAGATCGCCATACAAGACATTCAAGTTAGAATAAGGAAGAAATTATATGGGATGTCACGGTTAAAACGGGACCCAAGTTTACATACACTTCAACTGCCAAGATAATGTCTCTGAAAGTATGTGATGTTAGCATGACAGCTAGGATGGCCTAATACAGTGTTTCCCAGATAATCTTCCTGATCAGTTCTCACGGCAGACCTATGTGCCGCGGCGCAGTGGTTGGGAAACACTGGCCTAATATATGAATAAGCATTTTTCACAGGATTGTGTGCAGCTAGGTGCTGCTAATGAAATGCATTTGACAGACATCATCAGCAGGTGTGAACACCTCTATAAAAGGAGGAGTTTTGAGAGTTTACTGGAGCATTCAGAGCGTCCCAGCAAATTCAACCCAAGGTCAAGTTGTGCAGTGCTGAGAAATTGCAAAAGTGCCTGGGAGCTACATCTCAGGTGTCAGTTAGTATGTTAAATGTTAAAGTTCAAAATAGTACAATTTGTCTTAAGAGAGCTGTGCATATACCTGCAAACGACAAGCCAAAATTCCTCCACAAGGATGTGAGAGGCTGATAAAATCATACAGAACAAAAATCACGTCAATTTATTACTGCTAAAGGTGGATCTGGAGTGTACGAAGGACAGCACAGAGTCCTTTTCTCACGATAGTGTTTTTGTCCATCAATATTCATTCCTCTGTGAGCTCTATGTGGTCTCTACAAAAGAAAATGTCTTGCTATTTAATGCTCGATAGTTGGTTTAACTGTGTAATTTGATCTTTGGCAGGTTATTAGATAGATTTTTTACTTTTTTATTAAAAGTATCTGGCAATAATGACCCAATGAAAAACAATAATGTTGAGTTTTAATATAGTGCAAGGTTAATAAAGAAGTACAAATTAAAACCAGCTGCAGTTGGTCCTCGCTGTCCTGCTTTTCCTACTTAGGAAGCAGTAGACATCATGAATTGAATATGAATTCTTTTTTGTTTAGGAATGGACCTTTTTATCTGTGTTGACTCTGCAACTATTTAATCAATAATTTCTTCTACAAAATGTGAGATAATTCTGATCAGATTGAATGTACTTATGTGCATTTCTATAGCACTCTCTAGTTTTACTTATGACTCAAACCACTTAAAGACTGCGAGTCACATTTTAACCTTATATACATGCAGCGCTTTACTCTATAAACTTAAAACACTTTATCTCCTTCACGTTCAATTAACCTAACATGTCTTCAGACTTTAGGTGGAAGCAGGGCAAAAGCTACGCAGGCAAAAAGAGATCATGCAAACGCCACACACAAGCTTACTCTGAAGCAATATTGTAAACCACTGTAACTGCTGTGCCGACTGGAGCCTACAATTCAGTCTTAAAACACTCTAATAAAAGTGAAGTGTAGCATTTTACAAAATATCGCTTCAGTTTAGGTGTCAGTGTTTCAGACTATAGCTTTCTTGACCTTGCATTGGGTCTTTATTTTCTGCACCTTCCCACATTCTCACTATGTTCCTTGCAGGTCCGTGCACTAGTCCATATTATTGTTTTCCACACCTACGCAAGGTGTTTTTGGCACACTTTTAATGCGTGAGGGGCAATTTGATCCTGAAATAACACAGTCCCCATAGTACATCCTGCCTTTGTAGACCCTCATGGCAGCCATATGGCTCCTTTGTATTTGTAGATTGCAAGTAAACAGTGGCTGTGCAGTGAAACAGAAAAATGATCTCCCGCGCTGCTCCTCTCTGTCCCTTTAGATTTGTAGCAGCCCACGTCTGTATGCTAAGGTGCCGTGTCTCTGGATTTGCCTTCTGAGGACAATCCAATAGCGCAGATGTGTTCTTTCTGTTCTCTGTGCATTTTCTTGTTCCGGCTAAAGTGGCTGCATGTTCTCACCGGGCCGACTTGTACCTGTGTGAATGCATGCTGTGATTTCCACAGTGTTAGCGATTCAGTGAACATCCCAACCCTTGTCTGCTGCGAACACCTGCAATTACTCTCACTGTCCTGAGTCTCCCCCAGCTCTCGCTTTCTGCTGCTCGCGCTCTCTGTCTTTCCGCTCCTACTTTTCCTGTGGTTCAAACATAGAAAGGGGGGGAAAAAAGACTAACGAGCACAGAGAGAGAGAGGTTGAGAAAAGACAGAGACGTGCGAGGGACGATCAAGAACGGTGTGAAAAAGCCCGTGGATGACAGCAGAATTTAGAGGAGAATTTTATTTTTTATATATTTTTAAAATGGACGGGACTTGATTAAATGCAAGAATGAATAACTCAGAAAAAGCACTCACTGTTTTATCTGAGTGGTGTTAAGCTGACGAGGCCTTATTAATACACTGATGATTGCTCTCTAAAGTGATCGGCAAGAAATTCCTGCTAACACAGAACACACGTGATGTGCACACACGTGCACAACGTACGGCTACCAGCTTAACAGAAGGTGTCATCACAGCCAGATCGCAGGCTCTATTTATATAGCTCTGGACTATTTTTTTTTAACTGCCGGGGTCAGCAAACTGTTGCCAATCACGGCACTTTTATTCCATTTTCAGACCCGGACTTCCATTCTCTAAGAAGTCTAATCTAGTTATCTGCAGAAATGCAGATATGCGGGGAATAGTGAGTGGATGCGGACATGAAAACAGTGTTCTGTGCTTATCCTGTTTTTGGTATTCATTTATTCATTGCTTTTGGTGAAATACTACATTTTGATGTTTTGGTGCACCAAGAATCTGAGTCCTATCTCAATCCTTGCATCTGAATAAATAAATACAGATGGAGGTAGATAGATATTCTGTTGTGGTGTTTTGTTTTTTTCAAGTGTTTTGTTTGGTTTTTCTTGCTTTTTTGTGTTTTTTGTGTTTTTTTGTTTTTTTTTTAAACCCGTATTCTCATTCACACCTTCGGTGAAAAATCTCGATGCTATTACAGGCGGAAAAGCTCAGGACTCGGCTGCAGGATTTGGAAAAGCTCCTGGCTCACTTTGATTGCAGAGGTAGATTCGGGAAGCGGCACCACCTGCTGAAGTATCACATGGCCAGGCTTTATGAGCATGAGCACCAAAGGGAGGATACTCTGCCCAATGCTCTGGAGGATTTTCTGGCCTTCCAAGGTATCAGCAGCCAGGAGCCGAGATAATTCCGCTGTCACTCCTTTTAATGTTTCCTCCGTGGTCGTGACATCTTGCGAGGCACTTGGCAGCCTTTGCCTTGTGAAACATGATGCTCGCTTAATGTGCCATTGTAACCGCTGTGTCACGCTTTGGCTATGAGATGATAACATGCCATATCAGTACATACAAGACCAGCCGCAGAAACTTGATGTGAAACCGCTCCCGGCGTTTCGAAAATCTGCTGCTGTTGCTCTGTGTCTGTCTCCTCCAGTGTGACTGGGCTACATATACAACGCAACAAAGCGATTAAATCAGGAAGCAAGGCGACAATGCAAACCTCTCCCAATTACTTTAACACAATGTTGATATATCCTCATTATCTTTGGAGGGGAAAAGGCTTACAGGCTCAGCTGCACAAGCCAAATGGAGACAAATCATAACAATATAGAACAGGGCGCCGTGTGACCAACTTAATCCCTGTTTATATGACAGCCAGGGCATCGCTAATCCCTGCTTATTATGATTATAGTTGCAATCATGATAACAGTTGCCCAACAATCGCCCTCCCATCACCCACGCTATATATACACACACACACACGTTGTTACCAGTCGTGCTCTTTAAGGCACTGGATGGCCCAGTAATGATTTAATGAGTATGTGGAATCAACGGACTCGCTGTGTGGGCACACACAAGCTCCTTCCTTCTCATTTTATCAGACACGGAGTCAAAGCTACAAGTAAAGCATGTCCCAAAATGAAGCAACAAAGCGGACAGATTGTACTAATTGTTCTGTAAAATGCCTTTGCAGCCAGTTAAATTAGAAACACGACAGCAAACAAAGTGAAATTGCAAAAAAAAATACGAGCATCTGGATAAATTTCCATATGGTTCTGCTTATTCTGACTACCGATATGTAGAATGGATGAGAGTCCTCACATGAATTAACACAGTAAATGAGGGAGCCGAGAATGAGAGATGTGTCAAAATACGGCTTTCCAGCTACAAAGAGTTGGAAGAATGGTATTCTTGGTGAAGAAATCCATGAAAGACTTAATGTGGTTTTATTTGCTTTGTTCTTACAGAGGCACGGGAGGCCTTAATAAAACAATTTTCCTTGCTGGAAGCTTCTACAGGCACACTTTTAGCCCAGCTGCATGGCATTACATCTTCTTTGAACTGCAGCATCAGCATGACAGAGGAAGAGGGGAAGGAGAGGAGGAAGGATGAAAGCAGCGGGGCTGTGTGTCAGACCTTCACAGACACTCTACACATGATCAGAGTGTCTCAGAAACAACTGAAGCAGGCAACACAAGACCTGGACAATATGGTAGGTGACCTAAATGTACACTTTGTCCTCAGTATTGTAGCCACCTCAAACACTTTATCAGTTATGACTTGCTAGCACCACTTTGGACACCCTTTGGGTTTCCAAACTGCCTTAATTCTTTATAGCATAGATTCAACAAGGTGCTGGAAACGTTCCTTGGATTTTGTTCCATGAAGTGAATCTCCAGCCTCTGTTGGTACGAGGCAGGATGGATCCATCCTTTTATGTGGGCTACTCCAAAATCTGAGCCCACCATCCAGTTGCTGCAGCAGAAATTGAGACTCATCAGATCAGGAAATATAGTTGCTGCCTGACAAGCCTGTGTGAACTGTAGCCTCAGTTTTCCTGTGAGAGTTCACCCAGTGTGGTCTTCTGCTGCTGCAGCTCATCTGCTTCCAGTCTTGGCATGTTGTGTGTTAATAAAATAATTTCATTTTTGTCACCGACCTGTTTTTCCTGACAAATACAAGACAATAACTAAATAAAAACGAACACACAAGGAAGAAAACGATGATGACATTGATGATGATGACAATTTTGCTGAAAGGATTCTGGAGAGACAAGATCCAATCAGAACTAATTAAGTTGTGCAGGAAGGTGGAATGGGTTTTGGAAATGATCTAAACTGAAGTAATCTCCTTGTGCGGTAAGGTTAGAGAGAAGGATAGAAATCATGGAGGAAACTAACTTAAGATTCTGTCTACTAAAATCTTAATCTTTAGTTGACTAAAGCTAATAGAATTTAGATGCCTTAATTATGACTGAAACTAAATTAAATTGTAGTCCAAAGATTGACTAAAAAACTAAACAAACATTTGCTGTCAGAATTAACACTGCTACATACCTTTTTGTAATAAGAAGCTATTGGATTTTCTGTTGCCTTGAAGCAGCATGACCATTCGCCTCTGACCTCTGGCATGAATAAGGCATTTTCAAACCAGAGAGCTGTGTCTTACTGGAGTATTCTCTGTAAACCCTTGAGGCGATTGCTCAGGAAAAAATCCCAGTACATCAGGAGTTTGTAAAATACTCAGACCAGCTGATCTGGCACCAACAACCACACCACATTCAAAGTCTCTTAAATCACCTTTCTTCCCATTCTGATGTTTCATTTGATATTCAGCAGGTGGTGTTGACTATGACAATATGTCTAAATGCACTGACTTACTGCCATGTAATTGGCTGATTAGATGTGCACCTGTACCTAATAAAGTGGCCTGTGAGTGGGCTGTGAGTGTGTCACGACTAAAAATCTGATTATTTCCAGGATAAAAATAGAGTTTGTAGATTTAGAAACATTAACAAAAACACAGGTTCTGACAAGTGAAGGGGCGCTTATGGTGCTGCATCATGTCTAAGGTTTGTATTCAAGTGGGAACCGCTCGTAGCACTGACTATGCTAACTCTGCAGTACAAATTTCCTTCGGTTGTTTCTGTACAGTTTCACTGAAGAAAACTGATGACATGTGGATCTGAGCTATCCATCACAGACTTCATGAAGTAAATCAACCTGCAGCCATTGTTCAGCTGTGATGAATATTGCCGTGCCCCAGGTTTCCAGCAGAACAGCAGACCTAAGCATAACTATGCACTATTGTCAAATTTTAAATTGGTATTCTAAGTAAAGACTTAGGCTTTCTTAGTGCCAAATCATAGATATACCACTGGTTTTAAAGGGGTACTTCATAGCACTCTGTGTGGAAACGTTAGCACAAGCAGCAGGCCAGGATTGCAGAAACTTAACAAAATTAGTTAAACAAGACAAGATTTAGTTAAGATACTGCTAAGCTGAGTGGTTTCACAGCACCGGTAGTGGCCTTCACACCACAAAGGAAGAAAAAATGTCAAAATCAATAGTATGAGTGAATGATTGGGAGAAAAAGAAAGTCCCCTTTGCCAGTGAATCCAAATGTGAGCTTACATGAATGACATTAACAATAACAGATTCACCAAAGGTCAGCACAGCAGCATCAGCAAAGTCCTGCTTGTTTACTGTCTTTGCATAATTCATACTCGTTCTACTCAGTCTCACGGCACGTTTTCCACCGGTTATACACGACCCCTGTAGAGTGCCTGTGTGCCTCAAAGTGAAAGCCCACTCCCAGTTAGATAACCAGTGATTTAACAAGGCGAGCTAGACAGAGAATAATACTGCAGTGTATCAAATGTGTAGCAAAGTTTGGTAGTGGGAATTTGAAATTGATCAAAAGTAGCCCTCCTTAGAACTTTTTGGAGGGAAGATTGACAAAAACAAGCAGTCCTAACATCAAACTAACCTCTTTGGAACATTTTTATTGTTATCTGGGTTAGAAGGTATTGCACATGATAGCTCAAGCATATGCTTATATTAAATCAAGTACTATAAATATTACTGTAAGCAATAATCAGTCTTTTATGCCATTGCATTATATACTGTGTGCTAGCATGCTGACACTGTATGTAGCATGTTTTTTTTATTATTTTTTTTATTGTCTTTAGTGTGGGAGGTTGCAGTTTACCTTGCTAGATGCTGCTCTTTTGTGTAGATCCACAAAGATTCCCCCCAGGCAAAACCATAACTCCACCCCCTCACACCCCCACCGTTCTCCATATGAGTGGCACACTCCTCCCTCTGAAACAAAAACCCAAAGATGTTGATGGACGCTAAAATTAACAACTTGTTCTTCACCTGCCTCAAGGCTTTTCACGGTCTCTTCATGACGCTTGCAGGAATTTATTATAGATACTCCTGCCATGTTATTTAGGTTTGGAGAGATGAGTGAGCTTGTTTTGCCAATATATAACCCTCTATTTCTGATTCCGTGTGTGCGCGCGCGTGTGTGTGTCCATTGTGCTTATCACCTGGGTATGCCTGAAGCAACAGCAATGTAATTTCATATTAATAAGCACAGCGGCCACCTCCCTTCCACTAAAATGAAGAAAAATGCTTGTGTGTCAATTGTTGATTCAGTTTGCCCGTTTTGTTTGCATTTTTTCAAATCGAATGCCACTCTGGGAAGGACTCTGGTTTCAACCGTATAAACACTACATTTATTAAGACAAAACTTCAGGCAATTTCAGACCTTTTTAGGACCCCTCCCCCCCATATGCCCCTGCTTTGAACCTGCTTGATTACATACATTTATACAAGGAGGTTCATTATATAAACATGCAAAAGTATTGAGTACTCTCCAGTGCAATATAACTTTCATGTCAGCTGATTCGCAATTGTATTACCTTACAGGCGTTACATTGTAAATATATCCCACACAGTAGGCACTCAATACAACAAAGCTCTAAGTATTCCATTACTGAGCTTCAAGCCTTATTTATAATGCTTTCTGTGTCCACCCACATCTTTAAAAAGACTGTCTTTGGACTCAAATGAGGCCATAATTACACTTTTTACTGCTATTTTATTAATAGTCTTGCATATTTGGGGTTCCAGCTATAAAACAAATCCCCCCCAACACCTTTTTGGACTCATATAATCATATCATCATCATCATCATCATGTGTTTACTTCTGTGTGTTCATTCTGGTAGTCCTGGCCTTGTTCTTACCAAATACATTGGACAAATTGATCCTGGTCTTATATGACCATCACTCCCCATGTTCATTAAACTTTTTTTTCTTTTCCCTGTTTATTGTTAATTAAGTCAAATTTGATCTTGCGGTGTTGTGCCAGAGAGAAAGCAAGAGAGTTGCTTGCTCTCTGAGCTGTCACAGAAAATCAAATTTTTTACTGATAACCCATGTGCCAAGTCTGAAGGTTTCATTTGTCTGGGGTTTTTTAGATTGTGTAAGTACTACCTCATTTAAAAGGATCCTGATTTGTAGTACTAGGGCATGTACTGTACCTCTGATTACTGTTGAAACTGTTTCGACTGATTTTTAAGTTGGCCATAAATCTTGCTGTATTCTTTTCCAGTGTTGTGAAGTCTCACAATCACATTTCTCAACTTCACCAGCAATTCTTTTCCACGTGGAGCAAGAATGCAGACAGTCACAGCCCAAAATGACAAAGCTCTTATGTTCACAGGTCATTTTGTAACGCTGATCATGTATTTAGGCTCATTCAAAATCCCAGAAAATCTCTGGTTTGTTTCGCTGATCACAACTTTTCTAACGTGCAGTGCTGTAAAATAGTTTACGCCCCCTTTTTGATTTCTTTCTTTTGTCATTTTTCTTTTTGCAATATTTGTTACACTTACATGTTTAAGATCATCAGACATAATGTAATATTAGACAAAGGTCTAAACTATCCAACCATATCTAATCCTCTGTGAAAAAGGAATTGATGTATTTAAAAGTAGATCTAATAAATCTGCATTTTGTATTTAAATCTTTGTCGAATATGACAAATATTGCAAAATAAAAAAAAAAAAAACAGGGCAGAACTGTACATGTCAATAAATAGAAGTTCATTTATTTTTGATGTACTGAGTTTCTATTTTGGGGTTTGTATTTTCAAGACAGTCTTTTAAATTTTTTAATGTTCATATGAGAACCCAAATTAAAACTTTTTGCTCAAATCATTATCTAACAGTCAATATGTACAGACAGGTTCAGGGGGAGGTACACCACTGAGCATCTGTTTTCATCTGTAAAACACGGCGGAGGTACTGTCATGGTTTATGGCTACGTTTAATTCAGAGGTGGTTCAGATCTTATCAGAAATGATAAACCTTTGAACGAGGACAAGTGTGGATTTTGAGCCATCATGCAATACAATGTGGAAAGCAACTGGTAGACAAAGAACAGAACAAAAGGTAGCTCACATCCAGTGAAGAGCTTTGAAATGTCCTTCGGGAAGCCTGGAGAACTTTTCCTGAAGGGTGTCCAACTCCAGGCCTCGAGGGCCGGTGTCCTGCAGGTTTTAGATATCACCCTGGGTCAACACACCTGAATCAAATGATTAATTCATTACCAGGCTACGAGAGCTTCAGGACATGTCATTTAGCCATTTAAATTGGGGCGACCGTGGCTCAGGAAGCGCATCCGTAACTGGAAGGTCGCCGGTTCGATCCCCGGGCTCTCTGTCCTGGTCGTTGTGTCCTTGTGCAAGACACTTTACCCTACTGCTTACTGGTGTTGGCCAGAAGGGCCGATGGCGCGATATGGCAGCCTCGCTTCTGTCAGTCTGCCCCAGGGCAGCTGTGGCTACAACTGTAGCTTGCCTCAACCAGTGTGTGAATGCGAGAGTGAATGAATAGTGGCATTGTAAAGCGCTTTGGGTGCCTTGAAAAGCGCTATATAAATCCAATCCATTATTATTATTATTATTATTATTATTATTATTATTATTATTATTATTATTATTATTATTATTATTATTAAATCAGCTGTGTTGGATCAAGGACAGATTTAAAGCTGCAGGACACCGGCCCTCGAGGCCTGGAGTTGGAGACCCCTGACTTAAAGAAAGCTGCCAGAGAGAGTTCAGGCTGTGTTTTGTGTCCATGCCAAATATTGACTTTCAAACTCAGTTTTTTCCTCATGTGCTGTTTTTCCATGATTACCCTATTTGAATAAATCAATGCAGCTATTTTTAGTTTTCTAGCAAAATATAAAGAAATGAAAGGTGGTTCAAGATTTTAGCGCAATGCTGTATTTTTCTGAATAACTCTCAGAAACACACAGTTTTCACACAAATGAAAATTTCTCTGATTGCAAACAGCACTGTGTCAAAAACACTTTTAAAAATAATCAGCTGAAGTGTGAAAAATCCTTTAAATTACGTGACCTCATATGATTTAATTAAACACGTCCAAACAGCTTAGAGCCATTCCAAGACCAGAGCTGTACTTTTTTTGTCATTTGCTCAGTATGTCGCTTTCTCTCACTACCTTTTTCACAGCTCATTCCTTTTGAGGCAGTGTCACGACCCAACAAATGGAACATTATGGTCAATGACTCACAGGTGCTAATGAAAAGGTAAGTTAGGTCAATGGACTTTGAGTTGTCAGTTAAAAGCAAAGACCGCAATAGTAATTTACGGAGCTTCATCACTCCCGGCTTTTAGCTTGTCAAATACATTGTGGTTAGGTTACTGTGAATCGATGCTCTCGGCGCTTTAGAGTCACACCTTTGTTCTAGTTAAAAATATCCAGAGTGGAAATCCATTTTTCTCTTTCCTTGCAGCAGCTGCAGTACTCTACTGTTCTGTAATGCTCTTTTTATTCCTCTTTTACATTATTTAACTTTTTTTATTTCTTCTTCTTCTTCTTCTGGTAGTCACAGGGAAACAGCGGACCACATCGAGGCTATAGCCGACAGGGCAGTAAGAGCCTCAAAGCAGACCTATAGCTCACTGATGGATCTACTGCAGGACAACTCTACAGAGGAGTACATCAGGAACCTAACGGAGCAGTGAGCACAAAGACAAACATATGCTCTTGTAGACATGCACAGGCAGAAACAATGCTTTGTATGAATTCACATTCACATAAAGCATTCTACAACTCCCTGGATTATTGCGCTTTTGCCATGTGTGTGTATATAACAAAGTGCACCTATCACTGTATTATAGCTCAAGGTCCTCTTCTTTGCTGCTGCCTCTTAAAGCACACTAGAGTTAAGGAGTAAGACATTTAGCCACAGGGAGACAGCTTCTCTCTACTGTAAGCCTATTGCTTTCTTGGATTTGCCACACGCTTGCTGCATCTCCTAGCGTGTGATTGCTCTGAGGATTATCCTGGATGCTAGACAGAATGATGCAAAAAGCCCTCCGGTGGCCATGATGAGAGCAAGAAGTGAGGAGCTCCAAATTGATTACTCCCTTCTACCAGTAGTCAGCTTGATTCAGAGGAGTTGTGTTCATCTTCGGAGCACTGCAGCACTGTGTGCGTGCTCGCGTGTGTGTGTGTGTCTGCGTGCGTTTGTGTGTCGCTTTATAGGATGCAAAGTGAGCAGTTTACGCACAGATGGGCAGCATAAAATTGCATTTCCCACACATATTTCCCCATGTGGTGGCACTTAAGCAGATCAGAGGCATTTTATAGGCAGGAAGCTACCCAATCAGAAAATGACAAAGGTATTCAACCTGTCTCCAACAAAAGGTCTGTATCACTAGTACTCGGCAGCACTGCAACTGTTAGAAACAATTCACCTCAGTGTTTGTAATCATCAACAGCAAAGGGGTAGTAGCACTTGTTCAGCACAACTTTGAGCTACATTAATGGACTTTACATTTTAGTGGGAAACTGCGTACTTGTTTTTACCTTCCTGCATGTTTTTTGGAGATATTATTACTTTCTGATTGAGCTTTTACATAAAGTAGAATGTTGAAGAATAATTTAAATAACAAACTGAACAGCAGTTCACTGCCTTTTCTGGTTTTTTGAACATAGTCAGAACCATCCAGTAGAAATGTCACCAGGTCTCGGGGCAATTTTGTACATCCTTATTGCAAAGTGAAAAGTTAAATCACTGAAAATAAGCAAAAAATGATTTTTAGCCAATGCTAGGTCACCGTTAAAAGCTTAAACCACAGCTTTCCAACCAGTCTGTCTTGTAAAATCTGTGCAGACATGTAGTGTCTAGTTGAAACCCCAGTCATGTTTCAGATCTCTTAATAAAAGCAGCTACAGTTACTGTTGCAGTTTTTATTCTGCAGTCATTTTTTGCCCCTCCCTTTTCTTTTCTTTTTCTCACAACACAGAGTGATATATTTGCATAGTTTCACACTAGCAGGCTGTTTTCTTGTTCTGATGGAGAAAGGCTCCCTATAGGTTTAAAACATGCCTTTGAGGATCTTTGAATGAAGACATAAAAGTATGAAATTAATCACTGAGTGGGGAAAGAGATAAGGCAGAAGGGACAAAAATTTAATTTGTGCATTAGGTTGGGCTCTTTGAGCCTTGCTGTATTTAACGTAGTGACCAATTACAGCGGTACAAATGGATTTGTTGTTGGGGATATCTTATGCGGCCAGGTTTATTCTTTCATGGAGAACTTCAGGAGACTCAGATGTCTTATATACACACACACACACACACACACACACACACACACACACACACACACACACACACACACACACACACACAAGAAGTCTTGACTGCGGAGAATAAAAGTGTAGTGACACACACATATATAAAGCCACCCTGAAAGCTGTGCTCTGATAACACAGCGCATTCATACTTTTGCTGTATGTACTATACTACATACAAGCAATTCATGTGCTCATGTCACTCTCAAGATATTGTGCACAGTGCTGCAAGGGAGAGAAAGCAAGTTAACTATACAAGCTCTTTTCTCTGATGTTGGGGAAATAACAATAAACATGGAGGGGATGCGAAACCATGAGCAAAGGAAGAATTTTATGAATAGCTTTACAAAGATGCTCGAACCATCTCAAACCATTTCTGATGCTACAGTCACATCAGGATAAACAATGGTTGGAGACTGGACACAACAAAAACTATTGCATTTAACTTAAGACCTCTCTGAAATGTTTTCCTGGAAGTTGGAGATTAGATCTGTGACCATCTGCAGTTATTTGCACTTTTTAAAATGACTTTCACGCATCAACTGTGAGTCTGCAGTTGAATGTAGTCATTGGTAATCAGTTCCATTTTATTTGCAATAATAGGGGAATTAATCGGTCTACAGACACAGAAATTAACATTTAAAATGTATCCTGACTGCCGTCAGAACCTCATGGACAGAAGCAGAAGTTCCTCCACAAATAGATGCTTCAGGACAGATACTTTAATGCAAAATGACATAGGCACATCTCTCTATAAACAGAAATATAACCAGAATACAACTGGCTGGTAACCGACTGAGTTCAGTCCTCTATTGCAAAGAGACAAGTAAAACAAACTCCAGACTGCTTCACACTGACTGACATTTGTTGGAAAACTGTCCAGTTTTATAAATTAAACAGCAAATGTTTGCTTATTCTCTTATTCTCAATCGAAGTCCTATTTTTGCTCTAGTGTGACTGAGCCGCAGCAAGCAGCAAACTGCATGCTGGTCAAAGAAAGAGCATAAGTCACAAAGTCAAACACACCTCTTTAACACTGATGTCACCTACCATTTCCTCTCCCTCTGCCAAGTACCTCCTACTGCTGAGTGCAAAGTGAAGTCAGCTCTACAGGAAGAAGGGGGGTTTCTGAGACAGCAGAGAGAAGGGGAGAGACATCAAGTTGTTGTGTGGGTCGTCTTTCTTTTAAATTTAGAAACGAGGACCTCTGTATACGTCCTGTACATTCTTGCAAATAAAGTCTAAAACACAAGGAAACTCTTTAACACTAATTTCACTGGTGCATCAGTTTCTGCAACTGATGCATCATAATATACAGCATTATATGATAATGTGTCTGGGTCAGATAGGTTGCAAAATAAATAATAATGTATGTTTCTCTCTGCATTTAACCCATCAACTCAGTGGGCTGCCACCAATCTAGCACCTGGGGAGCAGTGTGTAGGGACGGTACCTTGCTCAGGGGTACCTCATGGTAGCCGTTCAGTGGATTTGAACCCCCAACACTTCCAACCATGGGGTGATCACTTTATCTACTGAGCTATCCCTCAGCAGTATAAAGCTGCTGTTGTATATAATCAACCCATTTTTTTAATTTTCACTTTTTGTCTTTTTAAGTTGGCTTTTTATTAAACAGGATAATACAGAAGGCTGAAATTTTGCTGCATGAGCTTTTGTGTTCACACGATTCAAAAGAAAAACATTTGTCTCGCATACTAATTAAAAAAGCACTTTTTAAATTAGTTTCAAGGTTGTTATTGCATTCAGTATTGCACGCTGTGATCATCTTATTATTTGGAAAATGATTTACAGTATATGTGACATTCGAATGATCCTGTAGTATAGTATCTCACTATATGAACACTTATAAATGACCCATAATATATTACATTAAAGCTGAAATAGACTACATGTTTTGGACTTCAGTCAGTCTGTCAGTAAGTCAATCATGTTTTGATATCAGTATCACCATATTTTTATGTAAATGTTCAGTGAGAGAACTCCTGCACTGCATCTGGGAACCGTTTGCTGTAGAAAATCTAGTTCATGACAGGAGACTTGTAAGAGGAGAATGAAGAAAGAGACAGAATGTGCAGTGGCTTTAGAAGAGGACTTTCACCTTGGAAAGTGTGGTTAAAAGCCAATGTGAAGCTAGAAGTTAGCACTAGCACATTTTTAGCATGCATGTGCACATAGGTGGTTGTGTAGAACAGAGACAAGAACTTTTTAAAAAAAAAAAACTTTTCTATATGTTTCCCACCTATCGGGGATATATTATATGTTTTGATACATTCTTACTGTACTTCTTTCATTTTAGAATCACACAGATGCAGCAGCAGAAGGAGAACCTGACGGTGCAGGTGAACGATACTGTAGCCGAACAGCTGGCCCTGGAGGAAGAAGCTGCTGGTTTAAAGCTTGCCTTGGGTAACATCACATCATTCTTACATCAGCTGGCTCTGACAGATGCCAGCCCATATCCGGAGGCTGATCACACTCAGTTCAACCAAACCAAACATCTAACCAACTTTACAACAGAGGTCAGTTTAATCTTCACTACGATTTCAAGCATATTCTGTTGCATTTTGAACCAATAAATCAATCATTTCATTCTAATTAGTGTGGGTGCTGCTTATATAAGGAACCACTCTGGTTTGTTTAACTTGGGTCATATAGAGATAGAGGTATGGGGAATTGGAAGTTAATGTCACTTCGTTTTTTTCTCATTTAATATTTGGCAAGGAAAGACGCACACTGAGGCACAGGAGAGAAGATCTGGCAGCTTCTGTTGCTCACAGGGCACATGTTGTTCTGGAGGGGGGGTGATTACCACAGCAGCATGTCTGAGCAGAATACACTGTTAAATGACCCAGAAATATGCTAAGGTGCCCTTTGTGTACGTGGTAGTTGAGAAAAGTAGAGAAAGCAATTTAAAAAAAGATCTTTATTCTAATAGAACTGTTGCTTCTTGTTATCCCCTTTCTTGTGTAGTGGGGTGAGACCCTGGTGAAACAGACAAAAGAACTGGACCAGCAAGTTCAGACTCAAGACGGTCTCATTGCTAAGGTCAGAGAAGTGGTGGAGCCTTTACTACAGACAGTCAACAACAGCATGGAAAGCGTGAATAACGTCAGCAAGGTAACCACACTAAGTGTTTGCTAGTATTGATGGTTATTAGCCATGTTAACAGCATAGTTCTGTGAATTATTAAAACACAGTAATGTATGTTAATTTATTGTTATTCTTTCTATGTTCATTCTATCACTACGTATAGTGATACAGCAAAACCTTAAACACCAAAGAAATGAGTCATATAAACATATTTTTTGTTCTTCTTCTTTGCAAGCTACATTTTCATTGTATAAGGCAAAGTAATCAATTATAGATATGCATGACAACACATTTCACAGACCCCAGAGTTTAGCGAAAAGTATTTACAATCAACAATGTGCACGAAGACGTAAGGTACGTGCAATGTCAGCAACGTAGGCGTAATGTTCGTCGTCACTGTTCGTTTTGAGATCAGCTAATACAAATCCATCCATTCTCTTCCGCTTATCCTTTTCAGGGTTGCTGGAACCTATCCCAGCTGTCTTAGGGCGAGGGGCAGGGTACACCCTGGACAGGTCACCAGGCTGTCACAGGGCTAACACATAGACACAGACAACCATTTGTACTCACATGGGCAATTTAGTGTTTCCAATTACCCTATCCATGGAAGGAAGAGAGATAGATAGAAAATTACAGAAGAATATTTTGTTACAAACACAATAATTGAACAAAATATAACATGAAACACAATAAACATTATTGCAAAGATTTAATAAACTACACTTGACTTTACTGACTTCTTGCTTTATCCTCCTTCTCTTGTACTAAAGCTGCAAACTCAAGCTCACGGAGCAAAAGTTGTGACTTTGTCATCAGTTGTGACAGGCAAAGAGGTGGAATCAGAAGCAATCTCTCTTCACAGACAACTAGAACGTAAGCCTCTATCTTTTTGACGTACATTATTGCTTTTGTTGAATGTACAACTAAATTATTTTGCTTAAATTGAAATGTCAAGTACTGAGATGAAAAGAAAACCACCGTATGACCCAGAGACTCGTGTATTAATATAATAGATATGTCATCACGGTTGTAATGTCTTGACCCATTTGTCACGTATTGAGCACAATAGCGGCTTCTGTAGAAAAACAGAAAGAGCCAGAATGTTTTGAGTCGTTCTAGCTTAAACTTCATTAATTAAATATTGACATTTATGAAACATAAAGAGAGTCTTAGGTTATTTTGTCTGCTTGGACAGTCAGTAATAGTAGAGAGTAATAAAGAGTGGATAAAAAAAATTAAATTCACCCAGTACACAGTGACCTTTTTAGTCAAATATTTTTTTAATCTAATACAACTTTGATTATGCCTTAATCCTAATAACATCCATCCGCTTGAATCTCCATTCAGGCATGGTTACACAGTGGCCCCGTCAACAGGCGCAGACCAAGGCTGCAATCAAGAAGGCAAGACCCTTGGAGGAAAAGATCCTGCCTGATGTCAGGAAGAAAGTCGCAGAGACCGAGAAGATGCTTAAACCAGCTCTGGAACACTCCAACATCTCAAGTAGCACGGCAAAGGACGCCGAACAAAAAGCGCATGCTGTGGTAAAGGTGTGAATACTTGTTTTTCCAACCATAACACTGAACAATAAATGATGGATGTTAATTGGAGAATTGCTAATTTGTGGAATTGACAACATTTTTGCAGTAAGTCAATCATTTTTTTGTGTGATACACAAAACAAAATTCCTAATTTGTTCAAAAGTATAGCTTCTGATTAGATGATGTCACAAATAATAATGTTCCAGTTAATCTCACCCAAAGACCTTCTAGAGTAACAACTCTGGGAAGTTATTTTGACTTTAAAAGTCCCAGTCAATGAATTAATGGAGAGCCGTAGCTTAAACTCAATAGTCACTGAGGCATAAAAACTGCATGTATAATATCACAAGTCAAATGTGAAAAAAAAACCCTATGAAATAAGTTGTGTTTTCCTACTTTTTTGCAACGTTTTACACCAAGGATTAATTTGAGCTCAATTCGAAGTGTTAATACAATCAGCATATTTGGCTCATATCAACACCCGACCAGCTACTGTGCTAATTCAGATGATAAACACACAGCCAAGATCAACCACCAATGCACTTTACAGCCACTACATAAACCCAACCCCAAGCTGTGTGCATGCATCAGTTGCAGATTATTGATTCTTTGGAGGAAGAAATGTAACGATTGCCATCTCTGACATTACAGAATTCCCCAGAAAATTTCTCATCAGGATTCCTTGAGTGCCACATCTCTCTACTACAAGTTCTCATCACATGATACTGCTGTTCTGTCAAGTGCTGATATTAAGTGTCTGTGCCTTAAGGCTAACATCTAATGGTGCTCTTTTGATTAGCCAAGTCTGTGCTGGTATAAATCTTAAGTTTGTCTACGAGGGCACCAGGTTCATTTTACTGATGGGAGTTTGACTGTTATGTTTTCACTCAGTTTTGATGTTTATTTTTACTCACTATCAAAAAAGGCCATATGTGATGCTGTCACATATTGCCGATCACAGCGGTACTTAAATGCTGATTAGGCGATTGTTAGCATGCTAACATATAAAAGAAAAAGCTAAGCAAACATTAAAGTAGCACTCACAATCCACAGATCCATAGATCTCTTAGTGGTTTTTCATAAACATTTCAGAATATTTCCAGTAGTCATTTGCTAACCTTTCCCTCATTTTTGTGTTTAGGAATCCAAAGCCATTCTGACCCAGGCTAAGCATACCAGGACTGCATCTGCTCACCTTAGCTCCAATATAGACTCTGCCTTAGAGCAGCTGTCAGTGCAGGAGTTGCTGACTGATAGAACTAACACCCAGATTACCTCAGAGGTAATTAACATAGCCATACACATATTTGAAGGAAAAAATCTATGCATATCGATCTGTTCATCCTGCGTGCAGCTTAAAAGACTGTTTCTAGAGCATGTCTTGTAATTCTCAGCCTGGGGTGTCTCTGGCCAGCGTAAAGGAAGATATGGAAGCAGCCAAGCTCCAGCTAGAGGCCTATTCTGTTACACTAACTGAGCTAATCAGCAAGATTGGTAAGTCACTACTTTTTGCTCTTCTGTGTCTATAAAACCCATAAATTTTCATTATACCTTAAATATCAGCCCACTAAAGAGCTCGGTGCCTTTTAATGCCTCATTAAACATGGAAATACTCCTCAGACCGTAAAACACGAATAACTGCTGTGCACAAGTCCGAGCAGCATTTCCTTTAGGTCTGACATATATATCTGACCTACTGTATGTCCTCTTTGGTCAAATCATTTTTATAATTCATTAGAAAGGTGAGGTTTTGCACTTTGTGGTCAGTTCTACTGTGCTTGAGAGAATAATCATCCAATCACTGCAATTAGGTCACAATGCTGGGTTATGTGCTGTTTGAATAAGTGAAGTAGGACAGCCATTAATAAACCACAGTCTAAAAAAAACAGATCTTTTTCAAGTCTGTTATGCAGCGTTTTCTTTTTCTGTCCTCCCTCCAGATGGGGATGTGCCACTGGAGCGATTTCACCGGATCTTGAACGAGACAGCGCACCGTCTGAGCATGCTTCGCGGGAGTGTAGAGAGCCCAACGCTAGGCTCAAAGATCCAGAAGCTGCAATCGGCCGCTAAAGAGCAGCAGAGCCGTCTGTCCCTCATTGAACAGGACATACAGGAGATCACGGAGGAGAGAGACAGTCTCAGAGACATTGCCTTAAACCTGCCCCAGTCCTGCCCCGAGGCAACCGGAGCAGGCAAAGGATAGATGCTATAGATGACGAGCATTACATTATTGATAGCTGAACATCAGAAAAGTCTGGGATGATCTTGTTAAGAGAAGGAGTTGCAGTGATTTTGTGTTCAACTTCAGAAAAAGTCTTTTTAGATTTTTCCTTTTTTGCCCCAAGGTGCAATTCATTTTACCTCCACAGCAGACCGACACACACACACACACACACACACACACACACACACACACACACACACACACACACACAACAGCCAAAAGCCCAAGACCTCTCCACTGCCTCCCATAATTTATAACCAATCTTCCTTCTCCTTCTTGTTTTTATCGTTTTCTTTTTTTTTACTCAACTCTCTTTTAGTAACAACATCCGAACTTCAATTTCACCATGAATAATAAGCAGCCATTCTGAACTGCTGGAGTGCACTGTCAAGTTTAAAATAATGCTGATTTTCCTTTGTGGGGCTAAAAGGTGTGTCTGAGTGCTCCTTCAGACTGACACATTCATTTACACTTGAGCTCTTTTTCATCACCATTGCTTAATTAACAATTAGTCCCCTTGGCCTCAGTGGAGTTCAGGTCAGGCTTCGACAGCACAGAACCTGTTTTCAGGATTATTACAGTGCCTACCTCTCTGTTTTTGCAGTTTCTCAATATTTCTGTCTTTCTGTGCCTCTGTCAAATGGACAAACTTTGCTTGGAGTTGCGCTTCGTCACACTGCGTGGCTCCTGATGACTAAAACATAAAAGCAAAGGGTCTTTGCGCAAGTCTTACAACAGGGTTCCAGCAAGTTCATTAGAAAACGTAATAATAGTTTTGCTGTTGGTCTTAAAACATGCGATGATCACCAAATTACTGTTAACCAGTGTTGGTTAATTTCATTAACAATTTCAGATGTTTTCACAGCTTCAAGTGTCGTTTCAGGGTAAAGACAAAAATAAGAAAGAAAACTGTAAATTGCACTGTCATACTCGAGCCTGAGTCTAAACACACACTTTTACAGATTGACTCATGGAAGTGCTCAATAATGCCACTACTGGTACCAGCTGTAGCTGCACATGACATTTCTAATTTAACAAAACAGTTGAGAACTGTGCTTTTAGTATGTCAGATTTTTTTTCTTTTTACTTAACTACAATAACACGAGATGAGATTAAAAATCTCTTTTGCAAGAGAGTCGCAGCCAATGCTTGGGTCATTACGCATTACTTTACTTAAAAGAAATGCACTATGTTAGCTAATTACTTGATTGAGAAAGTACACTACTCATTATAGAGCTACTCTATAAAATAACCTGAAATGCATTGTCACATAATTACTAGTTAAAAATATAAGCCTGAGGCTACAGTCCCACACACCAATATAAATCCCTATTTGAATACAGAAACACGAGCAATCTTTCTTTTACTTTTTACAATATGAACACAAAACCAACAACACAAAGCAAAGTTTAAAATCTGACCAAAGAAACTTTAAAGTGATGGCCATAACGATAGAAATGAAAGACAGAAACGTAGGCTACAATGCTACAAGCATGAGTTTGCTACCTTTTGAAGTGTCTGGCTGCGGGGCTGGGGCTGGCCAGCGCTCAGCTTTAACATCACTCTGGGTTCTTCGCTAGCTTTGTGTTAGCATGCTGTCTGTGCAGATGGCTTCAAGGAGCTAAAGTTGTGTTTCTATTCTGGACTCAGTTTGCGTTTCATTATCGCTTGTCCTTTCATGCAGTAAAAACAAAAGTTATCTGCAAAAATGTAGACTACACCATTTTCCACCTCCCAGCACCAGAAACTGAAATGATTGTAGCATGTTGATTTTTTCTTTTCCTTTCTATCTGCCCGGCAGAAAACTGAAGAACCTAACAAGACAATAGTAACTGTAATGTAATCACTGAATCTTGCATCATGCATATATTAGTGTGTTACTGAAAAATATAATGAGATTAAAACAATAATGCTGTTAACATATTTTACATACAAGTATGATAGCTAAGGTACATATGTAGATTCTGTCTAAGATATCATTAAAAACAGATTCACTTTACTCTCATTTGTGGCACGTAAAAATATCACTGTGTAAGGATTATTGTACTCCTTCATAGTTGTATACCCAGCTACAGGTTATGGCCTGTTTACAGCCTGACTGTGACACATAATTTGGACATTGAGGTCTTAAAAGGTCCCAAAAGATACAGGTTTGGATTTTTTTAAAATGGTGCAGGAACCCTGTGCAAGACTTGTAAAGCGATGATAATGATGAAGCGAAGATATTATTTAAAAATTACATTGTTCTGCTTTTATGAATGCTCAGTCTAATCAAATCAAAAGTTATACCTGTTTTTCATGCAAGTGCCCCAGTCACATGTCTGCTTGTAATAATTGTAACAATGCCCGAGTGTATAAGGCCTGAACCATAATGCAATAAAATATACACGATACGTCCGTCTTGCATAATGTATCGAATTCTTAGTGGACATTTTTGTGTAATATTGTACAACAAAGCATAATGGAAATGAAAGAGCTGCTCAAAGCTGAGTAGATGCAGATATCTGGAAATGGGTGAGTAACATATTGATGAACACAATAAAATTATAAAAATGGGTTTGTTTTATTTGTGAATTTACTTTCCTTCCTTCCTTTCCTTTGTCTGAGTTTTGTGTTTTTGTGTTGTTGTTTTTTGTCTAGAAGTGAAACAAAGAGAAGTCACTAATCCAGCAGCCTTGGAAGGAAGAAGGTTTCTGAAAAACTATGAAAGTGCTGAAGTTCTTAGCTCCCTTAACCAGAACCATTTACCACAAGCCCAAGTCTCGACTAAACCTTACAACTGCTGTAGTGGATGACAATTTGTTTTTGAAAGGGGGAGTAAAACTCCCGGGAGTACACTTAAGACCGATGAAAGGAAAGGTTCAGCAGAAAGTGGATCAAAGACAAACTCATATATGACACTATAACTTTAGCCCTTTAAACAAATACATTTTCTCTTAGTACAAAGTTGTGTTACTGTTTTTGTTTGTGAGCAAAAAAGTCTCCTATCACTCTCGGGTGTCAGGACGAAACATAAAGGCCAGTGGTCGATTAGCTTAGCTTACCTAGTCTGACTCTTCACAAGGGGAGAGGAATCACCTGCCAGTCCACACTAACCCTCACCTATCTACAACTATTTACTTGTTGTTTGCTTGTTTTTTCCCCCAACAACAGATCAGCTTTTGTCTTAAATAAAATAAACATTTACAGTTAGGTTTATACATTTATAGACACTCAAGTATTTTTGTTAATTATGACTCCTTACATCAGTAGATTTTAAACAATCAAGGCCCAACTGAAGTGTTAATTGAAGAGGTTTCTTCCTGTTAAAAGGGAGTTTTTCCTTCTCACTGTTGCCAAGTACTTGCTCATAGGAGGTCATCTCATTGTTGGGGTTTTCTCTGTATTATTGTGGGGTCTTTACCTTACAATATAAACCTCCTTGAGGTTACACATGTTGTGATTCAGAGCTATATAACTAAAATTTAATTTAATTTAATCATATGGACTTGTTTCTAATTCTTGTATGACAAGTGCGCAGGGAGCCACCAGCCACCCGCACAGTGCAGAGATGGTCAGAGGAGAGCGAGGAGGCTCTTAAGGATTGTTTTGAGTCGACTGTGTGGGAGGTGATCTGTGACGACCATGGAGAGGACATCGACAGCCTTACTACATGCATTACTGACTATATTAATTTCTGTGTGGATAACACCGTACCTACCAGGACTGTACGGTGTTTCTCCAACAACAAACCTTGGATTACCCCAGAAATTAAAGCTGTCCTCAAGCAGAAGAGGAGGGCCTTCAAATCCAAAGACAAAGAGGAGTTGAAAAGGGTGCAGAGAGAGCTGAGGGGACTGATAAGGAATGGGAAGGACAGCTACAGGCAGAAGATGGAGAACCAGCTTCAGCAAAACAACGTTGGTGAAGTCTGGAGAGGCCTCAGAACCATCTCGGGCCACAAACAGCAGAACTCTCTGCCTGGGAGGGATGTGAGGTGGGCAAATGAACTGAATCATTTCTTCAACAGATTTGACTCAGCCATGAGGCAGTCTGCAACATCGGCTGCAGACTCACCCACCCCCACTGCTGCTGTTCCACCTCAGACACTTCACACCTCCTCTATTCACCCTGCTCACTCCTCCCCACCCCCAACAACAGCATCCAATACACACACAACACAAGGCTCCAGCCTGTCTCTCTCAACCACCCAGGTTAGGAGGGAACTGAGGAGGATTAATGGCAAGAAGGCAGCGGGCCCAGATGGCATCAGCTCGAGGGTCGTCAGGTCCTGCGCGGACCAACTGTGTGGGGTGATGGAGCACCTCTTCAACTTGAGCCTGAGGTTGGGAAGAGTCCCACAGCTCTGGAAAACCTCCTGTGTTGTACCAGTGCCAAAGACTTCACGCCCCAAGGACCTCAACAGCTACAGGCCGGTGGCTCTGACATCCCACCTGATGAAGACCCTGGAGCGGTTGGTCCTGGCTCAGCTTCGGCGCCTAACAAGCTCATCACTGGACCCACTTCAGTTTGCCTACCAGCCTGGCATTGGAGCGGATGATGCCGTCATTCACCTCCTACATCGTTCCCTCGCTCACCTGGAGACCGCTGGAAGCACTGTGAGAATCATGTTCTTTGATTTCTCCAGTGCCTTCAACACTATTCTTCCCTCGGTTCTGAAGGACAAGCTGGTGAACTCTGGAGTGGACCATCACCTCACTACCTGGATTTTGGACTACCTCACCGACCGACCACAGTATGTGAGGACTCAGGGCTGTGTGTCGGACAGGGTCGTCTGCAGTACGGGGGCCCCACAGGGAACGGTTCTGGCTCCGTTCCTCTTCACCATCTACACTGCAGACTTCTCCCACAATTCCACCCAGTGCTTCCTGCAGAAGTTCTCTGATGACTCTGCAATAGTCGGCCTCATCACTGATGGGGACGACAAGGAGTACAGAGGACTGACTCAAGACTTTGTGGACTGGTGCCAGCTGAACTACCTCCAGATCAATGCCAGTAAAACCAAGGAGCTGGTGGTAGACTTCCGCAGGCACAAGCATTCTCCACTGCAACCACTGAACATCCAGGGTATGGACATTGAGGCTGTGGACAGCTACAGGTACCTTGGTGTTCATCTGAACAACAGACTGGACTGGACTCATAACTCAGACGCCCTCTACAGGAAAGGGCAGAGCAGGCTGTACCTGCTGCGGAGACTCAGGTCGTTTGGGGTGGAGGGCCCACTCCTGAAGACCTTCTATGACTCTGTTGTGGCTTCTGCTATCTTTTATGGTGTGGTCTGCTGGGGCGGCAGCATCTCTGCTGGGGACAGGAAGAGACTGAACAGGGTGATCCGAAGGGCCAGCTCTGTTCTAGGATGCCCTCTGGACCCAGTGGAGGTGGTGAGTGACAGGAGAACGGCGGCTAAGCTGTCATCCCTGATGGACAACATCTCCCACCCCATGCAGCAGACTATGACAGCACTGAGCAGCTCCTTCAGTGGGAGACTGCGGCACCCACGGTGTGGGACGGAGAGATTTCGCAGGTCTTTCCTCCCCACTGCTGTCAGACTCCACAACAAAGACTTTAACTGAACAAACACACACATCCACACATGTGCAATAACACTAAGTGCAATAATCTTTTCTGGCATCGTTGTATTTTTACTCAGTTGTATATAGCATTCGTATTCTATTTTTATCTTATTGTATATTTTTATTCTACTGTATATAGTATATTATTTTATTCTATTCTGTAGAGCTGTGTACTGTATTTATTCTTATTGTATTCTAATTTTTGCGTCATAACTTTTGCACTGTCCACTTCCTGCTGTGACAAAACAAATTTCCCACGTGTGGGACTAATAAAGGTTATCTTATCTTATCTTATCTTATCTTACAATCCTCAGTTATTGTGTATTTGTGGGCCCTTCTCAGTTTTGTCTTTTCTAACTGAAAAACACGCTCCATTGAATAGAGATTAGGTGAATGACTTTGTCGCTGAAGAATATCCCATTCCTTTGCCTTGAGAAACTCTTGGGTTGTTTTTCAGAATGTTTTGGGTCATTATCCATTTACACCGTGAAGGGCCGCCTGACCATTTTTGCAGCATTTGGCTGAATGTGAGCAGAGAGTGTAGCCTTGTACACTTCATCCTGCTAATCCAAGCAGCACTCAAATCATCAATTCCTTTCTTGAATTTACACTTTGACGAGAGTATTCTTGATGCGGCTAGATTAGCGATCAAGGCATTTTTTCTTGAAGGGGAAGGAATTTTGCTGCCATCTACTTTTGTTGTCTCCTGTGGTCTTCTGCGCCTTTTTGCTCTGCTGAGCTGGTCAGTGCACTCCTTCTTTTAAAGAAAAATGTTCCTTTGGGATTTTCAGCCTAATGTTTACCTCCTTAACTCTTTTTTTTTTGGACCTCATATTTAAAGTTAGAGTGAAAGCTACTGTGGAGGAGGCGTGGTCCCTGGCTCAGCTGCAGGGGAGGAGTGGGGCAGTACCAAGGAGGCTGGAGGGACAGGTGGCAGCAATCGGTCTAATGAGGCTTCTCCCTTTATATACAGTGAAGCCAGAGACCAGAGGGAACTGTCAACTGGCTGAAAAGTCGAGGAGCAGGGTGTGAACAGACATGAGTGTCACATCAATAAATGCTTCCCAGTAATAAAACCATATTCGCGTGGGGTCAATTTCTACAGAATCCATTTTCAAATCTTAGAATTAACTCTAGATTCATATCCACTGTGGTGGTTTACAGATGCATAAAAAAATAAATCAAATTTATAATATATAGTTTCATCGTTTTCATCTGAATAAACAGGAAAGTAAAGGGTCTTCCAAAAAGTATGCTTTAAGTGCTCAGTGCAGTTGTGAAGCTACCATTGTCTTTATGTAAGGTGATGTAATGTGCTGTCTTTCATGACAGGAAAATTGCAGTAGAACATCTAAGTATTTTAAATTCAACGTTATGCAATGCAAGATAATGGGTCGCCCACAGATTAGAGAGTCTAATGGAGAGTCTATTCTAGTCAGCAATTTGGTCCCAGCACACCAGCAATGAAAAGTGCAGATCCTGTATATCGTCATGTAATTTGTTTTTAAAGTAACGCTTCTTTTTTTTTAGTTTACAAGGTCAAAGCTCCAAAAACTGTGTTTGTGTTTAACACTCTGCAGTGATAATCAGTTTTGTAATTAGGATTACAAGAAGAACAGTGAGACTATAGAGCAATATCCGAGTTTTAAAAAGAATATGACTCAAAAACTCCATCATAGGGATGATCACAGCTCTGGATTAGGAATTAAGGGTAGTCAATTCCACTCAGTTTAGCAGCTAAACAGCGAAGATTATCATTATCATATGAAAATGAAAACAAATTTCATGACTGCTGAGAGGTAGCAGGGAGACAAAGAATA